TGCCTCCAATCCACATGAGAAATCTGAGCCCGCCGCTGGAGGCCTCCCCCCCTCTTCTCCCCCTCTCAGCGACGGCTCCTCCGCCGGATGTCTCACCCCCCCGACCTTCTCCTCCCCACCGCACACAGGCGTCGACAGAGCGTTGGGCGGCTGCGGCGGCGGCGGCGGCGGCGGCGGCCTCCTCAGAGGTGCGGCGCCGCGTAGACCTCGGCGCCTCTGTGCAGCAGCAACGACCCCCGCTCGCAACCACCCCACCCCCCACTTGGCGGCCCTCGAACGGACAGCGGGCCGGCCCCGCCGAGGGCCACGGTGGCCCGGGCGAGGCGGTTTAGTCGCCGCCCGTCCTTTTTATATTACCCAAAAGCGCTACGCCGCCCGTCCTTTGCACGGCCGCCACAGCAGAGGCGTCGGTCCAGCGCAGCCTCCGCGCGCCGAGTGGCGGGCGGCTGCCTACGTAGAGCCGGCGCCACAGTCGCGCCCAGCCACTCGTCTAGCACTGCCGCGGCGCGCGACAGCGTCCGACACGCCTCCCTGCTCCTCACATAGGAGACCACCGGGACCGGTGCCGGTCGGTCCCACAACCGGATGGCGGGGGAGGCGCGAGGCGGGGAGAGCGGCGGCGATACCAGTGCTGGCCAGCCGCAGCGGGAGGCGGGGGGGCTTGCGCCGGCGGCGGTAGCATTTGGTTGATGCATTGCGTCGCGTCCGTGCCAGTGCATACATTTTGCTTCTCTCGCTCTCCGCGCACTCACCACTCTGGTCTCTGGAGTCAGAGGACTACAGACGACGGGACTCACTTTCGGGAGCTCGCCAGTGCCCTGCGTTCCATGGCTGCTGTTCAATGGCACGGAGGGGGGCATCACCCTCCCTCCAGTCAGCGACCAGGTCTGCACGTCCAGTTTCATGGCGCGGCTGCTCAAGATTGGCGTCGCGCGGCGGACAGAGTGCTCGGTTTGCTTCAAGATGGTCAAGACCAAGGACAACCCGAGCCAGCTGCCGTGCATCCACTTTCTGTGCACGGACTGCCTGAAGAAGCTCTACCAGCTGGACAAGAAGGGCCTGGGCTGCCCATCGTGCAAGACCCACTTTCCCAACTACGTGCTGACGGCACATTCGGCAGTGCCGGGAGGAGTGGCGCTCTGCGAGTGGTGTTAGGGGGTAATGGTTCTCTTGAGTGTTAGAGGCCCGCACAGGGGAGGCGTTGGGTAAAAAGAAAACATCGAGGTTGATTTCTTCGGACGACTACACCTTTACAAATCTCAAGCGACTCCGGAGTCCGGTGCCGGTCGGTCCCACAAGTGGGTACATCAGCGCTGCGTGGTGACGCAGGACGCAGGGGCTAGTGCCATTTCACTCTGTCTCTGACACGCTAATCTTGAAAACGTCTCCAAAACGGAGCTCCGTGTTGCTTCCAGCGCCCTCCCCCGCGCTCCCTGCGGTCATCGCATGGCCGATGATCCTAGGAAGAGAGGTCATCTGGCTACCGCGAGAGCGACCCAACTCGTCGCGACATCGATCATCGTCCGATGATGGTGCCGCAAAGTCAGCCTTCGGAGGCTAGTCGTGGGGACTGGGGTCGAGCCGGCAGTAGCCGTGACATGTGGTTCCACCCCCCCTCGTAGGCTTTGCCTCTGACCGCCACCGTTCCCAGGCTGCCTAATGGGATGGAAAGGAAGGCTGAGCGAGCGTGTATAGAAGCGTGCTCGACCTCGTCGTGGCAACCTGTACGGCAGCGCTGGTAGGCGCGATGAGCGTCGTGCCACCTGACCCGAGACGGGTCGCAGGCGTCGTACCGAGCGCGTCGAGACCGTGTCCTGATGCGCTCTGCACGGGTGAGTCACGTCGGCGTCAAAGGAGCGACGTGCGACCTGTCAGAGCTTGATCTCCGATCTCAGCGACGTCGAGTCGTCTCCGGCGCGCAACAAATGCGTGGAGACGCGAGGGTTGCCCCCCCTTGCCCCACCACCTCGAGTGTGTGTGGAGAAGTTTACCTTACCTTACCTAGCCTACCCAAGGTCTCTCCCCTCCCTCCCCCCCTCACGGAACGCCCAGCGAGGCGGCACGCGCGCGGGCATGCCCCATGCATCCGATGGGATGCCCACCGGGACACGGGCACAGGGCTCAAAGGGCCTCCCCGCGCGGGTCGGGCAGGCGCGTGGCGCGCTCGGCGAAGCGTCAGCTTCGGTCCATCGCCAACGGGGCCTCAATCCCGCTGCACTCGAAGCCGCTGGCAATGTCAGGACGAAGGACCAGCTGCGACCGTGCCGTCTCGTCGTCGAGCAGGAAGAGCCGCAGCCACGCGAGTGCCACTCCGCCGATGGCGCCGCGCGGCGCGCGGTCTGCAGCGTGGCCGGTTGGTCCATTTAGCGTAGCGCACGGACACGGCGTGCACCAAAGCGCAAGTGGGCACTGGCACATCCAGCAGGCGCAAATGGTCGAGCAGTTGACGCACCATAGTTCCATGCTCATTGACCCTGCCTCCGCCTGGTGCTTGGTACCACCCGCTGGGCCGAGTGGGGTGTAGTGATCCCCGCCCTCGACTTCGAAGATCAGCTTGGCAGCGCCCGTCTGACGGTAGTGCGGCCATCCGAACTTCTTGGGCGGCGCCTCCTCATCGTTGTCGCCACAAAGTATGAGAACGGGCACAGCGGTCGGCGGCGGACTTGGAAACGAAAGCGAGTGCTTCGAAGGAAACATGTAGCCGCCATCCGGAGCGAGCGCGATGACGCACTTGAGAGTCGGATCAGCCAGGGCCGCCAGCTGTGCGCCGCCGCCGCCCAAGGAGTAGCCCTGGACGGCGCGCCGTGAGATGTCGAGGCGCCCTCGCAGAACGGAGTCAGCACGCTCGTGCTCACCCTGCAACGCCAGGCTCGCGTCGAGGAGCGCCTTGCTACGAACGGCTGGCGAGTCCGTGAACGGCGAAGGCGTGCCGATGGTCATCGCCACGATGCCGTGTGAGGCGTAAAAAGGAGCCCAGGCCGCCATCGCCTGCTCACCACATCCCCAGCCGCCGACAATCACGACGGAAGGCAACGACTTCAGCCCGGATTCCGTGGGGTAGTAGATTGTCGCAGAGGCGAAGCTCGCGTTGTTGCAGAGGTGCTGAGCATCCTGCTTGCCGGTCGCGTGCGGACCCAGTGCGCAGGAGTCGGGGCCGAGGGCGCTCATGGGCGGCGAACGAGGAGGTGCCCGCAGAGCTCCTGACCGGCCCGCGTTCTTGGGCGAGGAGCTCTGACCCACCGGACACCCACCGGACAGCTAACGTGAAGAGCACCGAACGACGCCTGGCCCAGCCGACTTTGTGGTCTCGTAAGAATTCTTAAGATACAAGCCTCTCTCACAGAATTTCACGTCAAAAGGTGCGAGAATTTTTGCTGCGGGACGGCCGCGAGGTGGCATGAAGGTTGCAGCGAGAAGCGGCGAGAGACTGCGAAAAGAGATAGGAAGAGGCAGACTCCCTAGGGTGGGCGACGGCTAGCGCATCACACCCCTCTCCTTAAAATCCCTGTGTGGTGGCGGCGTGCCGTCCTCCCATCCCTCCCTTGGGTTGTCTGTTTTCTTTCTTTCTTTTTTGCTGCTTGCAAAATGGGGGTAAGTGGGGCGGAACAATTCACAGCTCGCGCAACAACTTATGTTTTCCTAAACGTAGTCGTGGCCCCCCGCTACGTCGCACGATTGCGACTGGGTAGCGGGGGGCTAAAAACCCGAAGAGAGGAGTGGGAAAACCGCTTCCGCTCGCGCGGGCGGGAGACGGCGCGTTTAGCCGCGAACGGGGCCATGCCAGACGAGTCGCCTGCGGTTGGGACGCCAGCCGAGACGGGTTCGGCGGGCGCTGGGAGCCTATTCACAGAGGGCTCAACGGGTATTTTTCGCTTCGTTCGCAGCGCGGCCTGGGAATAGGTAGGTAGGTAGGTGGGGCACGGAGCCTGGCGGTTGGCGCCCGCAATAGGTAGGTAGGTAGGGCGTTTTGGCGCGAGTCAGTGGGCACAGACCCCCTATCCGGGTTGGAGCCGGAACCAGTGATGGGTATCCGAGGGTCGCGTCCTGGATTGTACGTTTGTTAGGATGCGCGACGGCACCCTTAATCAGTGAGCCTCATGAGCGGCGCGGGAACGCCAGCGGAGAAGCCGGCCAGCGAGACGACGGTCGAAGTCGCGTGCTATGCGTCGATGCCACAGTTCGACAGCTCCATCCTCGACACCTTCATCCCGCGCTGCCGCAGGCTCACACAATTGCATTTCGGCCGCATAGTCTCCAACCCGGACGCGCCACAGGCCTTTTCCGAGAATGTCGGTTTCAATATGTGCGCGCAATCCCCACACAAGCTGCCATCTGCCACTCGTCCACCACCACACTGACTTGCAGGACGTACAACTTGGTCGAGCCGGGCAAAGGCAACGCGCTCCACACGCACCCTTCCGTCGAGATTTTCATCGCCCTTGATGGGAAGTGGGAGATTGCTTGGGGGGGGAGGGGGGAGCATACGACGGTGCTGCAGCCGTGGGACATGATTGCTGTGCCGGCTCACGTTCGCCACTCGTACAAGAATGTGGAGGAGAAGACCGCGAATCACATCATGACAATCCTCTGTGGGGACGCATCCATCACGTGGGGCCCCGATGTCGTCGCGGAGGCACGCAATCACGGCGTGCGTTGCACGCGGAGGTGCTGCTTCACGTGTGCCTACCGCCTGCCTGAACCCAGAACATTTGACGCCCGCTGCTCGCGTAGGGGGGAGCTTCTCGGTTTCTGGAGTGGCGAAGAGCTGCAGGAAGAGGCTGGGGCTGAGACGGAGGAGGATGAGCCGGACGCGTACCACCGACCGATGAGCAATCCTGAGATGGCGCGGCACGTCCGCCGATTCCGCGACGGGCAGTCGCTCTCGGTGCAGGCAAAGGGCTCGTTCGTCAACGTGAGCAGTAGAGATAAAAGACCGCAGCATCGCGTGCAGCTGCGCACCGACCCTGCCTCGAGCCGCGCTTTGGCAGGTCTCCTGGCGTGCACTGGCTCAAGGCGAGACGCTGGCGATTCACTGCAGTCCCCGCGCGGTCGATGTGCTCCTGGTGGTGCTCGAGGGTTCCCTCTTGCTGACGCGTCAGGGTGGCGAGCTCGTGGCCGTCACATCGCAGCTCGACTCGGTGCGCGTGTCTGCGGCCGAGGCACAAGGCATCCTGGCGTGCAACCAGCTTCGCACGCCGTGCACGATACTCGTCGTCGAGTCGCAGATGCGGGCGATCGCCGGCCGCCAGTGCGGCGAATGGCTCGTTGCAGGCGTTTCCCCGACGTCGACGATGGATGCGCTGCCGTCGCTCCCTCGCCCTCTTCCCTAGTCATTTGGAGCCGGATCGAGGCACCACGCAGCGGATCGATGGGTGGCGAGTGCTTCGCGCCCGTCGAGGAGGCGTGGCGAGCCATCGGGGCGCGGGGAGGGCGGAAGGAGCGTCGGATAGCTTCGGCGACGTTCACGTGCCGTTCGTACCCAAAAATGGCCGCTGGGGGCGCACGTGTCCCACTTTACTGTCTACTGTGATCTGTGTACTGAGAGTTCCACACAGCGGTCGCGGTCCGCAGGGCTGTTGTGAGACTGCTGAGTGTTCTGTGTTGTCTGAAAACCTTGTCACTGACAATGTGGTACGTAAAGCCATGAGGAGAGATCGGACCGCTACATATCGGGGCGGCGCCACGAGACTTTCCTGAGACGTGCGAGCACGCGACGCCGCCCCCCCCACAACTGTGTGATGGGTGAAGTGTGCGGTGGAGCTCGCTCTAGAAAAGGCCCGACTCACTCACAGCTCGGTGCTTCGCCCTAGAGGAAGCGCCAGAGGGGATGGTGGCTCATGGCAGCCCGAGCGGGTTGGCCTTCGGGAGGCCGTCCGAGAGCAGCGCCGCGCTCTCCGCTGCGTCGCCGCCCTCGATGCCGCCAGCGGCGGTGGCCGGCTCATAGGTCCGCGTCTTGCCGCGCTTGTTGCGCAGCAGCACGCGGCCCTCGCCTGGAGGCGCGACGCGACTAGCGAGGTCAGGCCTGTGGTCTCGGCGGCGGGCGGCGGCATGCCCGCAGACAGGGGTGGCCAGTGTGTGCGGGGAGTGGCGACGGAAGGGCGAGGGAGGAGCGAGAGGGAGGGGAGGGAGGGGAGGGGAGGGACGGGGAGGGAGGGGAGGGAGTAGGGCAGCAGGGCGGAGGGGGGGGGGGGGGGGCGATGCAGCAGGGCGGAGGGGAGGGGCGATGCCGCAGGGCGGAGGGGACGCGCGCGCACGTCGGACACTTCGGCGCGGGAGATATGGGGAGATATGGGGAGATATGGGGAGAGATCCCGCACCTCGGACACTTCGGCGCGGGAGAGCGCCTCGAAGACGACGACCTGCGGGGGGAGATGTGGGGAGAGATGGGGAGAGATGGGGAGATCGAGCGAGATCGCCTCGAGCGGGGGGAGATGTGGGGAGATGTGGGGAGATGTGGGGGGATGTGGGAAGATCTAGTTGCGAGCCAGGGACGGGGAGCCTATTGGGACACCGGGAGGAAGGGGGGGAGGGAGGGGGGGGGGAGGGGGGGAGGAGCGCCTCGAGCGGCGGCCTCGTCCAGCCTGTTGAGCGGCTCGGGCGAGATACGGGGAGATACGGGAGATATGGGGGGAGAGGACCTCGTCCAGCCGATTGAGCAGCTCAGGCCGGAAGCGCGACGACATCTCTCGCCGCACCGCGCCGCGCATGGCCTCGTAGCCGCCGCCGCCGCCGCCGCCGCCCGCGATGTTGAGGATCTGCTGCGAGCCCACGTTGGAGGTGAGGACGAGCATCGCGTTCGTAAAGTCGACCACTCGCCCCTTGTTGTCGGTGAGTCGGCCGTCCTCGAGCACCTGCGCAGCACGCGGCACAGAGAGGAGCAAGGGAGAGATGGGGGGAGAGGGGGAGAGGGGAGCGTTGGACTCCGAATCGCCGTGGGACGTGAGGGGAAGACTCTCTCTCTCTCTCTCTCTCTCTCTCTCTCTCTCTCTCTCTCTCTCTCTCTCTCTCTCTCTCTGTGTGTGTGTGTGTGTGTGTGTGTGTGTGTGTGTGTGTGCAGCGGCCGGGCCGCTCGCTTAAGGCGGATTGGCCAGACGTGCGGCCTAGCTCCACGGGGCTGCTGGGCGCAGGGGGAGGTGTCAATCACGCTCCCGGGACGCCGCGAGAGATCGGGTCGGTCGTTTGCCCCGCCTCCTTCCGCCCTGGCCCGAACCACTCCCTCCACCCCAGCCCTTTGCCTGCGCCCCGCTCGGAGGGGAGAGGCGGAGTGCGCGACGGCGCACCTGCAGCAGCACGTTGTACACGTCCGGGTGCGCCTTCTCGATCTCGTCGAAGAGCACGAGCGTATGCGGCGAGCGGCGCACGGCCTCCGTCAGCTGGCCGCCCGCCTCGTACCCCACGTACCTGCTCACAGCTCGAGGTGTGAAGAGACGCCGCTCGCAGCCTGGCCGCCCGCCTCGTACCCCACGTACCTGCTCACAGCTCGAGGTGTGAAGAGACGCCGCTCGCAGCCTGGCCGCCCGCCTCGTACCCCACGTACCTGCTCACAGCTCGAGGTGTGAAGAGACGCCGCTCGCAGCCTGGCCGCCCGCCTCGTACCCCACGTACCTGCTCACAGCTCGAGGTGTGAAGAGACGCCGCTCGCAGCCTGGCCGCCCGCCTCGTACCCCACGTACCTGCTCACAGCTCGAGGTGTGAAGAGACGCCGCTCGCAGCCTGGCCGCCCGCCTCGTCCCCCACGTTCCCTGGCGGCGGGCCGGTGAGGCGCGAGACGGAGAACGCCTGCGGCGGGGGTGGGGTTGTGGGGAGGTGGCGGAGCGGAATGCGAGGGGCGGGGCGGCGGCGGCGGCGGCGGCGGCGGGGGGGGGGGGGGGGGGGCTTGTCTGAAAGGAGGGCGTGTGCCGCGCCTGCCCGATGACGCGCCCGTGCAGCGTCTCCTCCAGGTTGGACATCTCCTACGGACATGTCTCGGACATGTCTGCCCGGGGCATGCACGCCTGCGAGCGTCTCCTCGAGGCGTGGAATCATCTCTCCTTGCGCTCGTCGGCCGTCAGCTTGGTGACCGGGATCCCCGTCCAGTCGGCGACGACCTCGGCGATCTCCGCCTCGCCGACGGTCGCGCCGGCGGCGCCGCCCCCGTCGTACGCCTCCATCTGCAGCGCCGCGCCAGCCTCGTCGATCAGGTCGATCGCCTTGTCAGGGTTGAAGCGGTCCGAGATGTACCTGGCGCCGAGCTCTGCCGCGGCGGCGATCGCCCCGTCGCTGTACTTGACGCCGTGGTACTCCTCGTACTTTGGCCTCAGACCGGTGAGTATGGAGGCCGTCTCGGCGACGGACGGCTCGTCCACTTTGACCGCCTGGAAGCGCCGCTCGAGCGCGGCGTCCTTCTCGATGTACTTGCGGTACTCGGCGATCGTGGTCGCGCCGATGCACTGCAGCTCGCCGCGCGCGAGTGCGGGCTTGAGCAAGTTGGCCGCGTCGATGGCCCCCTCGGCGGCGCCCGCGCCGACGAGTGTGTGGATCTCGTCGATGAAGAGCACCGTCTCGTTGGACTGCGTCACCTCCTCAATCACCGACTTGAGCCGCTCCTGCACGGGGGGAGACGGGGGGGGGGGGAGGGGGGGGATGGGGGGGGGAGATTACGGGAGAACGCGGGAGGTCGCCGACTCGAGCCGCTCCTCAAACTCGCCGCGGTACCTACGCGGGCAGATGTGGGGAGATGTGGGGAGATGTGGGGAGACATCAGCTCAAACTCTCCGCGGTACTTCGTGTCGGCGACGAGCAGGCCGAGCTCGAGCGAGAGCACGCGCATCCCGAGCAGCCGCTCCGGCGCGTCGCCGTCCACGATGCGCTGCGCGATGCCCTCGGCGATCGCAGTCTTGCCGACGCCCTGCAGGCGGGGAGGGGGGTGAGCAAGTGGCACTCGGCAGTGGGTGGCACTCGCAGCGGGTCCACGCGTCGGAGGGGCTGCACTGCCGCCGCGTCTCGCGACGTGCCATCTCGCCATGAGCCACTGCAGTGTCGGTGGGGCGGAGGTGCAGTGGGGTGGAGGTGCGAGCTGCGGGTGTGGACCGCCTCCTGCAAGCGTCTTCGGAGCGCCGCGTGAGGACAAGGGGGCCACCGAGACAATGCACGCCCGCAATGCACAGCCGAGTGTGCGGGCCGCGCGCGACGCGTCACGAGTGCTAGCTTGCCATCCAAGGAGCAGGAGTCCGCATGGAGGGGGGGCGGGAGTCGGCATCTGGGCCTCGAGATGTGGGGAGATGTGGGGAGATGTGGGGAGATATGCATCTAGGCGGCGTTCGGACCGGGTCTCCAATCAGCACCGGGTTCGACTTGCGGCGGCGGACGAGGATCTTCATGCAGCGGCGCACCTCGTCGGCGCGCCCGACGCACGGGTCGAGCTTCCCTTCCCGCGCCCGCTGCGTCAGGTCGACCGAGCACTGCTCGAGGGTTGAGTTGCCTCCCTTGCGCCGCTCTCCGCCCGCGCCAACCGCCTCGGCGTCGCTGCGCTTGAGCTCCTTCACCACCGCGGCGACGTCGACGCCGAGGCTGGCGAGCAGCGCGGCGGCGGAGCCGCCGTCCGACGCGCCCTCCGCGACCGCACTCAGCATCAGCCCCTTTGGCGAGACCAGCTCTGCGCCGCGCCCCTTTGCGTCATCTAGCGCCGCGCGCAGCGACCGCTCGGTGTCCGACGCAAAGGGCAGGAGCTCGTCCTTGGCGGTGGAGGCGAAGAGCTTCTCGAGGGGATTGCCCGCGCTCACGCCGCCGCCCGCCGCGCGCGCCAGCTCGTCGCGCACCGCCTTGGTCTCCACGCCCGACCGCTTGAGCGCCGCGGCGACGCCATCGCGCTGCAGCGTCGCCGAGAGGAGCAGGTGGTCGGTGCCGATGGCCTCGACGCCGAGCTGGCGCGCCTCGGTCTGCGCGTCCATGATGAGGCGCATCGCGTCCTTATCGTACTGGTCGAAGAAGAGGACTGGCGGAGCAGAGCGGCGAGAACCAGCGGCGCACCCGACGTAACGCCCGGCCGGAAGCGCAGAGGCGCTGGGAATTCTGCCGCGCGTGTGCACATGCTCGGCGCGGTATGCCAGGCGCGGCGAGATGTGAACTCCGGCCACGGCGGCGACGGTGAGGATGAACCCGTGCACGGTAACAGTGGGCATATCGATGTATGTATCTTCGCGTCGTTTAAAAAAAACGATTAAAGTCTTTTGCCGCAGTCGGCAGTCCCTTTGCTGGGCCCCCTGGGTGGGGGCCACCTCGAACCCCTAGCCAGGGTTTCGAGTGGAGGGTGCCCCGCCCGTCCCGTCGCCTATCCGTCGGGCCCCGGTACCTTCATTCTGCGCTGTCGCTCTGTCGTGCACGCGCTCTCGTGCTTCGCGTTGCCTGACCCGCCCTGTCCCACCCGTGTGTGATCAGTGTCTACAGACGGGGGGAGTATCTTTGGCTCACGCCAGGGCGCTCGTTGCTCCTCCCACTTTTGTATTCGTTCTTAACGGGAGAGTTTGTCTTAACGGAGTCGCTTAGTTAGGCGGCTCCGGTGGTGAGCCGGTGTGTGTGCCAGTCCGCGCCAGTCCGCGATCAGGTCGTGTCCTCGCGGGCGGTGTTGCCCCAATATTCTCACTCTCATTCATTCTCAGGACACACAGAGGACACAGCGCGCGCCGCGCCCGCGAGGTCCGCCAGCGTCACCCCCGAGTGCCCGAGGCGGAGCAGCGGGCGCGTAGCTCGAGCATACACGAGCGCCGCCTCCTCGGGCGTCTCGAAGCTGCCAAGGGTGTCACCGCGCACACAGACGTTGTAGGGCCGTTTGCGCTCGCCACTGCCTTTGCTCACGCCCTTGAAGCCGCTCTCCGTTTGCACCGAGCGCTGCAGCTGTAGTCCCTCCGCCGCCGCCGCCGACAATGCCTCACTTGCAGTGAGCGGGCGCGACGGCGCAGCGGCAGCTGCTGCACGCGTCGCCGCAGGACCCAGTTCGCGGGCGTACGCGAGCGCCGCCTCTGTTGTACGTACGTACTTATAGTTTATTGGTAAAAGTGGATTTTCAGAGACCGCTCAGCTGGACTCGGACAGCGCAAGCAAGAGAACGCGCACTCAAGACCCAGCCCAACAAATGAATTGACCTCCGATGCGCCGGGCACGGTCTCTCACGCGTCCCATCAGCAGCAGTAGCGTTGGCGGGCCGCTGAGCGCACGCGTCGGCTGCACGTGGCGCCGCGGCGCGGACCAGCAGGGCGGCGCTTCGCCCGCCGTGCCAGCAGGCTACATCCGCTTTCGAGACCAGCTGGCCGAAATCGGCGGAGCCCTCACCTTTCGCGTGCCGGCGCTCACGGAGGACGCGCCCATCAGGCTCCAGATCCGCAGCGGGTGCCTTGGCGACGCCGCGATGAGCGGGCGGCACGCGACGGGCGGCGTCGTCGCCTCGTCCAACCCGCAGCTGTGCGGCAATCGTAGTGGCTGGTGGGGGTTCGCCGGCGTGACGAATGCAGACGGCGCCCTCCGTGAGCGTGCGGGCTCCGGGCTGGAGAATGAGTGCGAGGCGCTGCCACCGGCGGCGGCGAGTGGAGAGAAGCTGTTGCCGTCGACAGCGAGGGCGACCAGCGCACACGCGCTGCGGACGGCGTGGGTGCTCCACGCGCTCGGCCCGACGAGCTTCCATGCGCGCGAGAGCGAGGCCGCGCTGCGGCGCACCTACGCTGCGTGCTTCGACCTCGCCGACAGCCTCGGCCTGGGCTCGCTTGCCCTGCCCGCCCTCGCGTGCGGCGTGGCGGGCTTCCCCGCTACCGCGGGGGCGCGTGCCGCCTTTGACGCCGTCGAGCGGCACGCGGCGGCGGCGGCAGGGGCCGCCGGCGGCACCCTCGCCCGCGTGGAGTTTGTGTTGCTAGACAGGCGAGTCTACTGCGAGTTTGCGGACGAGGCGTGGTCACGCTGGCAGCGATAGAGCGTAGCCCGTAGGCTCGATTTGAGGGGCTGGCGTCACCACACGCTCTTACTGTGTGACCCCTGCGATCGTGCGATGCCGGTACACACGTTCATACCGGATACCGCAACCAGTGCCACCGTCCGTATACCAGATTCGGAATCGCACACGCGCGCCGACACGACGTCGAGGTCGGGCTCGGGGGACGCGACCGCGAGAGCGCACGCGCGCACACCCGCGGTGGTAGGTGGTACCCGCCGCGCCGCGGCCCCCGCGCGCCCGCGCAGGTGTGTGGGTGTGTTTTTGCGCCCGCGAATTTCAAACCGGCCCCATTAGTACTTTCGTGGTTTTTTGATGTCATCCGGAGCACTCGATGTCGAGCGCTCTCTTTGCCGCGCGCGCCCCTTGGGTGGGCGGCAGCCGCCGCGTGAGCTCGAACAGGCAAAGCTCCGGGTCGAGGAAGCGCGCCTCCAGAACCTCCTCCAGCCGCACTCGCGCCACGCGCCAGCCCGCCCGCTCCGCCAGCCCGCCCGCGCCAAAGAATCTCTCGCGCAGCGCAGCGCAGCGGCTCGTCGAGCCGTCATCGTGCACCAGGTAGACGACCAAACCCCCGCGAGCCCCTCGTTCGGCGACGCCACCGCCGCCTCCGCCTCCGCCGCCTCCGCCTCCGCCTCCGCCTCCGCCTCCGCCTCCGCCTCCGCCTCCGCCGCCGCCGCCGCCTCCACCTCCGTCGCCGCCTCCACCTCCGTCGCCTCCGCCGCCTCCGTCGCCTCCGCCGCCTCCGCCGCCTCCTCCGCCGCACAAGCGGGCGAGGGTGTCGAGGACAGGTGCGAGCAGCGCCTCGCTGTAGAGGATGTCGCAGCCGACGATGTACCGCGGCCCGCCTGTGAGGGGAAGGGGGGGAGAGCTCTGAGATGCATCTCTGTGCTTGCACTGCGAGTCTGCGGCACTGACAGACGACGCGACCGCTCGTCGGCAGTGCGGAGACGAACCGCGCGGCGCGCGCAGAGGCGTCGTGTCGCTGGGAGGAGACGCGCGTGGTGTGGTTGGTGACGTGAGTGCGCGCTCGCTGTGTGCTCTGCAAACACTCAAAGACTGCCTTGCTCTCCGAAGAGTGCCGCCCCCCTCAGCCGAGCGGCATCCTCCTCGCTGCCGAACGAGAGGGCCGCCTGCTGCACCGCCGGCCCGCCCCGCTCCCGCACCGCCGCCGCGTTGGCCTCGAGGTGCATGCGCAGGTAGCGCGCGCCCGCAGCCCGGTCCGTCGCCACCACGCGGCTGCCGCAACACGCGGCGACCACGGACGGCAGCGCCGACCCGGCGCCGAGCTCGACCAACCGGCTGCCACACAGCTGCAGCGCCTCGGCGCGCCGCTCGAGGAAGCGCGCCATCAGCACGCCCGACGGCCACAGCACGCACTCGCCGCTGAGGGCGCGCTCCTCCCCCTCGGCGCCCGCGGCGCCTGCGGCGGCAGCGGCGCCCACGGCGGCGGCGGCGGCGCCGCCCTCGTAGAGCCGCAGCAATGGCCGCGCCCGCCCGCCACCCTCCGCCTCCACCGCCCCTGGTGAGACGGGAGGTGCGTCGAGCTGCCAGAGGCGGCACCAGAGCGACGTCTGCGCGTCGTAGGCGCCAAAATCGGCGAGGCTGTCCAGGCCCACAATCAGCGCGGCCGTCGCCGTCGAGGCGGACGAGGAGGCTGGCGACGCGGCTGGCGCGGCGGCTGGCGACGCCTCCTCCCACCACAGGACCACGGCATCGCTCCCGGCGGACACCTCGGCCAGACTCATCGAGTTGTATGCTCGCCGGCCATCGGGAGAGCCGAGCCGCAGGACGACGCCGGCAGCGCCGCATGGAGCACCGCCGCCGTACCACCGCTCCTTGAGCTGCAGGATGGTGGTGGAAGCCGGTGCCTGCACGGCTTGCGGCGCCGGCGACGAGTGCCGGTGGAGCAGGACACGGATTGAGCGCGAGTCGTTTGGCATGCGGCAAGACTACTGTGCCGTACGAAAGTCTGCGCAGGTGTGACCGGTCTCAATGCCCCACCCCCCTGCGCGCGGGCCTTCTAAGCCCGCGGGTAGTCCCCCCCCATCCCAAGGGCCTCCAGGGCTCGCACCTCAACCTCTCACAGGCCAGCGCACAGCGCCATAGGATGTATTTTCTTCTCAATAACAAGGCTGTGAACAGCAGCTCCTGAGCACGGCGCCGCAGCGCCTGTTGATAGGTCCAGGTGATAGCCCTGGATGGGCAATGCATACGCCTACTTGGGCCTCAGATCGCCCGACCGCGTCCCGGTGCTCTGTGGTCGGATTTGTGACGCGGCCGGGGGCCCTCCGGAGGCCAAGGATGGCCGTGACGGACCGGGACGAGCTCTGTGAGGTTCAGTGTCAGTGTATATATTGTAGAGACCAACCATGTGCACAATATCGCTCAGTCTAGCTAAGCCTGGGAAGGCGATGCCGGGGCCGTACAGCAGCTTGATGGTGCTTCGCCGGCGTGCGTCCCGGAGCGGTGCCGGACGGTCGGTCCGTGGGAGGAACCCTCTTTGGAGCCTCCATGGCACTTCAGCGGATAGCTCTGCAGCACACGCTTGAGTCGTTTGACCTGAGAGTGGCTGGTTGTTATAGTGCAGCTGACCGCGACGAGATCTATGCTGCTATTGGTGCCATTTATTTGCGAGGTGGGACCGATGGGTTGGACGCGTTCAATCACATGGTACGAACACAACTCAAGGAGCAGGTGCTGCAACAAGTCGGTGGTTCAACTACACTGTTGTCAGTCTAGAGCTCTACGGCGTTCTTTCTTTCTTCTTTCTGCCATCTCGGCTGCGATCTCGCTCACAAAGGAGGAGAATGGGCTTCTTGGGCAAGGCCTTGATCAACGCGGTGAACCCTCGCCTGACGCTGTCTGTACACGCGTGTACGTTCCTCGCGATCCTCATCCATCCACTCATCAACTATATGCCGTCGTCATCTTGCTCGCCTACTTTCTGATTGGGCAACTGCCAGACAGATGCACAGCGCGCACCCCGCCCCGCTCGCAGGGGTGCAAAAAAAGAAAGAACGTAGGAGGTTGACTCCTTTTGTTGTATACAAATTGTGTAAAAGTGCCTCTTCACAGTCCCCTTCACACCAGGACCCTCATCTCCCGGAGCTCGCCCCCAGACACCTCCAAAACCCACTTTCAACATCTACTGGCACACCCTAACTGTGGCTGGAGCGAAAGCAGGGCCAGGCGGCAGGGTGGCACCGCCACCGGCACCCTCCGCAGCTGCGCCTGGGGTGTTCCTGGTGCACATCGTCGATTCGTTGCGGCATCCGCGTCGCTAAGCGGGTACGTCCGCGCGCGCCAGACTGCACGAGCAAGTGAGAAAGCTGCAGCAATCATCGCGACCACAACGAGCACGGCAACGGGGCGAGCTCCCAAGCCCATCTCAGCTCCCGCAACCTCACGTATTGATGCACGAGAGCTGGTTATGCTGCTATCTTTGGATCGAGCATAGCGGGTTGCCCAAGCTGGGACGCGAACTCGCCCAGCACCGACGCGTACTGCCTCAGCAAACATAGTTGCGACCGCTTCATCCGGGGCAAACGGCCGCGTCGCCGCGTCTTCGGGGGTAAATGTATGGCAGTACCAACCCTTCGGATTCTCTAGACGGAACTGTATGTAGCTCGTCTCATTGCGCATCGTGTATTCTTGGCAGGCCGAGCTCTGCACCTCGGAGAGTGGCATCCTCTCCTCGCTCACGCTGACGCCCGCCGAGGCGTACCACAACTCGCTCTGGGACTTGCGCGCGCGCGGCGTCCCGGTGCAGGCCATCGGCGTGCAGGCGCACTTCGACGGGGAAGTGGACGCGTCCACTGTCAAGCACCGCCTCGACGTGCTCCGCGAGCTGCGCATGCCCGTCTACATCACGGAGCTCACCATCTCGGGCCTCGACCCGGCGCAGCAAGCGTATGAGCTCGAGAAGTTCCTGCGCATCGCCTTCTCGCACGAAGCAGTGGCCGGCATCACTCTCGGACAGCTGTGGGACGACCCGAGGACAACGGCAGCAGGCGCCAACGGGCCGGGGCTCTACACGGCGGGGAAGCAGCCCAAGCCGGGGGCGGAACGGGTGGACAGCCTGTGGCGGGGGGAGTGGCATACCGAGGTGACGCACGAGATGACGTCGCGCGGCCGCGAGGCCGGCTTGCTGCCGCTGGAGGCCGCTGTCCTAGTACCGTGCGTCTACGAGGGCTGCGGCACATCCACGACACGTCCGCGACGTGTCCCATAGGCGTTCTACGGCACGTACGCGTACGAGCTGCGGCACGGCGAGCAGCTCTGCGCGGGTGAGGTGGAGCTGCGCCGCGAGGCGACCGTCCAGCCCACTCGGTGGCAGCCGCACCCGCCTAGAGCGACGCTGGTGACGGTGCAGTGCGACTGGAAGGGGCACTGGCGGTACCCGATCTGGGCGACCCCAGCGCTGATCGCCTCCGCGTCGGTGGGGTGCCTCTTTGCTTGCTACCGCAAGCGGGCGGAGCTGACCGCAAAGACGCCGGCGCGCGCGAGGCCGGGCCTCGGTGGGCGAAAGAGCGAGACGAGGAGACAGCACCAGCCGCTGCGAACGGTGGAGCCGGTGGATGAGGTCAGCATCTGACGAGCCGAGACTCTGAGATACAGGCTCGGAGAAACAAGTGGTGTGCGCGCCGCCTCAGTCACAGAACACACAAGACATATATTTCATTTTTAAAGCCGTCGATCCTTACTTTGGCATCGGAGATCATGTAAACGTGGCGCGGCGGCTGCGAAACGCCTCGCCCCTCCCCCAGGCTCGGAGCAAGTGTTGCGCGCCGATCGACATCGGCCGTGACGGTCTGCAGCGCATGCCCCCCCCCCCCCCCCCGCCCCCGCCCGCCCCCCAACGCCCCTTCCAGGCCGCTTCCCAAAGCGCCGACGCGGCCGCGGCCGGCGAGCCTTCCGCGCCGCTTCCGCCCTATCGGATGCGCCCGCTCACGGCCGCGGCCGCTAGTCGCGGTCGCGGTCGCGGCGGCGGTCGCGGCTCCGGCTGCGGCTGCGGCTGCGGCTGCGGTCTTTGCGCCCCGACATTGTGGAGAAGTCCCCACGGTCGGCGGTCTTGTAGTTGCCCGCGCGGTCGTCGTCGCGGCGGCCGCCGCGGTCGTCATCGCGGCCGCGGCCGCCGCCGTAGCCGCCGCCGCCGCCATAGCCGCCGCCGCCGCCATAGCCGCCGCCGCCGCCATAGCCTCCACCGCCGTACCTGCAGGCGGCAGTGGCTGGGCGGCACTACGCGCTCTTCACCCTCTGCACAACCCAGTACGCGAGGCGCGTCGCATGGTGCGCGTTTCGTGTGGGTGCGTCTCTGTTGTGTCGTTGGCAGGGCTCCGCACCGATCTCCGCCGCCGCCGTACCCGCCGCCGCCGTACCCTCCTCCGCCATAGCCGCCGCCGCCATACCCGCCTAGACGACATGCGATGGAGGTGTCTCGGACATGCCCCGCCTCGGCAAGCGATGAAGTGTTCATCGCCCGCGCCGCCGCCGTACCCGCCGCCTCCCTTGCCCGGCGGCGGGCGGTACTCCTCCGGGTTGACGCCCGCGTCCTTCATCTCGGCACGGATCCGGTCCGACGTCTCAAAGTCGCGCTGGCGCTTGGCGGCGACCCACTGCTCCAGCTTGTCCTCCATCTCTTTCGACAGCGGCGGGAGGCCGCCGCCGCCGCCGCCGCCGCCATCATACCCGCCGCCGCCATACCCGCCGCCGCCATACCCGCCGCCGCCGTACCCGCCGCCGCCATACCCGCCGCCGCCGTACCCTCCTCCGCCGTACCCGCCGCCGTACCCGCCGCCTCCCTTGCCCGGCGGCGGGCGGTACTCCTCCGGGTTGACGCCCGCGTCCTTCATCTCGGCGCGGATCCGGTCCGACGTCTCAAAGTCGCGCTGGCGCTTGGCGGCGACCCACTGCTCCAGCTTGTCCTCCATCTCTTTCGACAGCGGCGGGAGCGACATGATGCGTGCGCCAGCGGTGTCTGGTGCTGATTTTGCACGAGAGGGTGCTCACAAAAGAATTTACGCGGCGGCGAGGCCCCGGCGACACTTCCTCAGAAGCCGTCGCCCGCACCACAGGAGCAGCCACACCACTCCCACTCCGGCGCCCACCCACTCCCCACCCCGACATCCCCACCCCACCCCACAACCCCGCCCCACCATAATAATATGTCTTCCTTACTATTATTAATTGATGCTTTTTGCACGGCTGAGCCCCCCCCCCCCCCTCCCCCGCGCCCATTCCCTGCCCTCTCCCGCCTCACACTCCGTCAGAGCCCCCTCCCTCCCCTCTTGCACAACAGGAATTTTGACAATTAACCAGATGGTGACCACAACAGGAATTCTGACAATTAACAAGATGAAGCTAAAAATCAATGGGCTCGCCCATACCGGAGTGGTTCGACTCCACGCAAACCCGGAGTGGTGAGGGGCTGGTCGTGCGGTGTTCTCAGGCCCAGTGAGGTAGTGCATCCGACGGTCCGGATCCTGCTGAACAAGCTCCTCTTGTAGCTCGATCGGTCACACCGCCATCGCCGTTGGGGAGAGGGGGGACGACACTGCTTCGGCAGCGTGCACCTCGATCCTGTACCGTGTTTGTTATGACCCCCCCCAATGAACATACCAGTGAGGGAGGGCGAGACGATCGAGGGGTCCCGTACCATGCGGAATCGACCCTATCCAGTGCTCAAGTGCTCAAGATGGTGACCTCAATTCAAATCAATGGGCTAGCCCACCCATACCGGAGTGGTTCGACTCCACGCAAACCCGGAGTGGTGAGGGGCTGGTCGCGCGATGGTCTCAGGCCCAGTGAGGTAGTGCATCCGACGGCCCGGATCCTGCTGAACAAGCTCTTCTTGTAGCTCGATCGGTCACACCGCCATCGCCGTCGGGGAGAGGGGGGACGACACTGCCTCGGCAGCGTGCACCTCGATCCTGTACCGTGTTTGTTATGACCCCCCCCAATGAACACACCAGTGAGGGAGGGCGAGACGATCGAGGGGTCCCGTACCATGCGGAACCGACCCTATCCAGTGCTCAGGTGCTCAAGTAAGCGTATTGCAATCAATGTGTGTGGCTCTTATACGATTTTGAGGGTGAACGATCTGTGTAAAGTCAGAGATATTGCGAGAATGGTGCGGACTGCATTCGTCCTTCCCTTTCTTTTTCATTTGTGCAAGTAGGAATGTTCAAAAAAATCTTTCTTTTTCATTTTTACAAGCTTGTGCTGTCGCTCGCCCGTCCCCGCCGTGCGACGAGGACCGCATACAGGCATTAAAACATTGTATTCCTCTCACTGAGAGATTTTTCAGGGACACGAGCGCGCAGCGGCTGCGGCCTGCGCCACCTCCCACCTACCTGGTAGATCTCTCCTAGATCTCCTCGCCTTGTCTTCCCATCTCCAAGTGAGGTCTTATTTGTTATAATCATCACAGTGGCAACTCTATTTCATACGTCATACCGACTGCCTACTCGTCACCCTGAATGGTTGCCCAGGTTAGTCAGATCACGATCTCTGGGGGGAGGCGGGGGCCCTAGAGGGCATCCATGCGGGGGGGAGATGGGGTCCCATGGCCCGCCGCAGGCGCCGATTTTTTCGGGATGTTTTTCTTTTTTGCGCGAATTTTTACTTGTTTTCATGGGAATTCGATGTACTTGCGGCCATGCTATCACGCCTAATCGCCTTGCGACAGCCTGTCGGCGCTGCTGACCGTGCCCTGCTGCACAATTGACCACCTGCATAGCTCGCGGCCTTAGTATCCACCATTCAGTGACGACCTTATCGTACGGCCAGTAGGAAGGTGTCCTTCCAGCGCGTGCACGCTTCTGACGCAATGCGCGTCACAAACTGCCTCGGCGACTGGCTGCTGGCACTCTCGAGGCTATGCCTACACAGCCTCGCGCGCATGGGCAGTCAAGAGGGACCATGCACTTTCTCAGGAGAGCGCTGGTGCCTCTCTCTTGGACCGGCAAACTTGGTGGTCTCGTGTCACCAATGTGGGACCAGTGCGGCATCGCGCCATCGACAGCTCTGAACTGCGCCTCACCACTGACCGGGAAGGCCGCCAAGTGGGCCAGCACAGGTCGCACATTGTGGCAGCAGTCAGCAGTGCATGTCTGATAGCTAGAGCAGCAGCGTCAGGGTCGCAGGGTCGGATCGTGTCAAGCCTCTCGCCCGGCCGGCCGCGTGCAGACGTCGGCCTGTCTGCTGTCTGGAGTGATCTGTCGGCGGTCAGTACGACCGATCAGGTCGGAGTTTTCTGATGGTTGGAGGGTCTATCTGTATGTACTCCTCGAGATCTCTCCAAATCTGCCCTCTGATTACAGTGGCCAGGGGCGGGGCTTGCATTTTTTGCCGTCGCCAGTCGCCCCCCCCAAACGCTACAGCGGGGGCCGCGGCCGGCGCCGGGGCCGCCGGGGCCGCGCCGC